AATGGGGCCACAAAGTGGAGTCCACGACATACGAGTGCGGAGAAGAGCAAACCACTGACCACCTGCTGCAATGCAACCTGAGCCCTGTCACATGCACAATGGAGGACCTCCTTGCGGCAACACCAGAGGTGCTCCAACTGGCCAGTGACTGTTTGGATATCAGCCAGCATGCCAACACCTTAAATCAAGAAATAGTTTTCTAAGATATACAGAGACACTCGCTGGAACACCTCAGCAAGCGAGAGTCCAAAAGTGGCAGGCTCAAACCCAGAACCTCAATCAATGGCTGATACCAAATGAGAGACTCCCCCTGGGCACACAGAAGACTGGGTGACTTGGAAGGTGCTGAACAGACTGCGCTCTGGCACCACGAGATGCAGAGCCAACCTTAGAAATGGGGCCACAAAGTGGAATCCACGACATGCGAGTGTGGAGAAGAGCAAACCACTGACCACCTGCTGCAATGCACCTGAGCCCTGCCACATGCACAATGGAGGACCTTCTTGCAGCAACACCAGAAGCACTCCAAGTGGCCAGATACTGGTCAAAGGACATTTAATCAGCTACCAAGTTTGCAAAATTTGTGGGGTTTTTTATCTGTTTGTTTGTTTTGTTCTGTTAGAAATGTAATAAAATGTTCTGGTTGCGGATGACACGATAAATAAATACTGCTGGGTGTTTCCAAGGGCTTGTTTGAAAAGGGGCTCTGCTGCTGGATTATTATCTTTCCCATTCAATTTTTCAAAAGGGAATGTTGCTGGAGAGCATCACAAGAGCCAAGGTTGTTGTTAATCACTGGTTATGTAAATAAACAAGACATAATGCAGTTGGCACCACTTGAATTGGTGTGGCTCAGGGCAGTGGAATCCTAGTTAGACAAAATCATAGAATCAAAGAGTTGGAAAAGATCTCGTCGGCCATCCTGTCCAACCCCATTCTGCCAAGAAGCAGGAATATTGCATTCAAAGCACCCCCGACAGATGGCCATCCAGCCTCTGTTTAAAAGCCTTCAAAAGAAGGAGCCTCCACCACATTCTGGGGCAGAGAGTTCCACTGCTGAACAGCTCTCACAGTCAGGAAGTTCTTCCTCATCTTCAGGTGGAATCTCCTTTCTTGTAGCTTGAAGCCATTGCTCCATTGTGTCCTAGTCCCCAGGGCGCCACAATTGAAGAGGCATATTGAAAAGCTGGAATGTGTCCAGAGGAGGGCGACTAAAATGATCAAGGGTCTAGAGAACAAGCCCTATGAGGAGCGGTTTAAAGAGCTGGGCAGGTTTAGCCTGAAGAAGAGAAGGCTGAGAGGAGACATGGTAGCCATGTATAAATATGTGAGAGGAAGCCACAGGGAGGAGGGAGCAAGCTTGTTTTCTGCTGCCCTGGAGACTAGGACATGGAACAATGGCTTCAAACTACAAGAGAGGAGATTCCATCTGAACATTAGGAAGAACTTCCTGACGGTGAGAGCTGTTCAGCAGTGGAACTCTCTGCCCCGGATTGTGGCTTCTTCTTTGGAGGCTTTTAAACAGAGACTGGATGGCCATCTGTCAGGGGTGCTTTGAATGCAATTTTCCTGCTTCTTGGCAGGGGGTTGGACTGGATGGCCCACGAGTTCTCTTCCAACTCTATGATTCTATTCATTTCCCCTTCAATCATTCGCCAGTATTCCACATGAACATTAGGAAGAACTTCCTGACCATGAGAACTGTTCAGCAGTGGAACTCTCTGCCGCAAAGTGTAGTGGTGGCTCCTTCTACGGAAGCTTTTAAAACAGAGGCTGGATAACCATCTGTTGGGGGTGCTTTGAATGGATTTTCCTGCTTCTTGGCAGAATGGGGTTGGACTGGATGGCCCATGAGGTCTCTTCAAACTTTCTTTTTTCTGTATTTTCTGTTTGTCAGTTGCTGAAGTTCTGGTTAACTGAGAGTCTATAGTATTGCTACCTTGGTATACCTTGTGCAAAGAGGAGGGCAGCATTAACACAACACACAAGATCCCACCACAAAGCCCATAAGCAACACACTGAAGCTACAGCACCTTACCAGTTTGCTTCTGGAGGAATCTGCTTTGTTCTTTCTCAAGATCCAGGTGCAGACCGCCTGCAATATTGATTTCAAGCACCAAGAAGCTCTGCTGAGCCTGGCCAGCTGACTGTAGTTTAGTTTCTATTGAGGCTTTATTTTTACAAAGTGGAGTAGGATTCTAAGCAGATTTTGTCTTGCCTCTTCTACCACCTCCTCATCCGCTTTTTGCCTTCACAACAAACTTGAAAGCTAGGCCAGGCTGAAAATGTGACTCCATGAAACCTTCCCACAAGAATTTCATAAATTCGGTATAAACGCAAACCTGGACTTCCAAACATTGGCTATTTCTGTGCAGCAAGAACTGTGTTTTAAAGCAAAACTTGGAGTCTAGTAATCATAGTACTCTGCGGGAGAATAGGTCTCAGTTTCCAGCATTTGCCAACTATATGGTAATGATTTCTGGTAAAGCCAGGACAAACTAACTCAAGTAGTCTCAGCTGCACAAAATTTCCTGAAAATGCTAGTTAGTGTTTGTAGTTTTAACTTAACCTTGTTCTTCACTCAGTTGCAAACATAAGCCTTTGTTGGGTGATTGGGCTTATTAACAAAAGACTCTCCTAATAAATATACAGCTGAGTAACTTTCCTTTTGTACAACACCAGTTGCCAAAAGTGATTAAAAAAAACAAAACAACCCCTCACAGCCTCTGAGGATGCCTGCCAGATGCAGGCAAAACGTCAGGAGAGAATGATTCTGGAAGATGGCCATACAGCCCCAAAAACTACCAACCCAACCAAAAAAAAAGATATCTCTTCCATAGGAGGCTTTTCTTTGTAGTAAAATATGGTTGCACTATTCACAAGAACAAGGTTTCCATGACACAAAGTTCAACCTTCACACTGGAGCTTCACACACAAGGCCTTCTCATACCGAGGCTTACCTCACACAGAGACTTCACTCACAGACTAAGACCTACCTTACACTGTGAAGCCTTCTCTCTCAGACTAAGACCTTATCTCACAGACTTAAGAACTATCTTACACTGTGAGGCCTTTTCTCACAGACTAAGACCTGCCTCACACTGTGAGGCCTTTTTCTCACACTGGAGCTTCACACACGAGCCCTTCTCATACTGAGGCTTACCTCACACACTTCTCTCACAGACAAGACCTACCTTACACTGTGAGGCCTTCTCTCACAGACTAAAGCCTACCTCACACTGTGAGATCTTTTCTCACAGACTAAGGCCTGCCTTACACTGTGAGGCCTTTTTCCCACACTGGAGCTTCACACACAAGGCCTTCTCATACCGAGGCTTACCTCACACAGAGACTTCTCTCACGGACTAAAACCTATCTTACACTGAGGCCTTCTCTCACAGACTAAGGCCTACCTCTCACTGTGAGGCCTTCTCTCACAGACCTGCCTCACACTGTGAGGACTTTTTCTCACACTGGAGCTTCACACATGAGGCCTTCTCATACTGAGGCTTATCTCACAGGGGCTTCTCTCACAGACTAAGACCTACCTTACACTGAGGCCCTCTCTCTCAGACTAAGGCCTTCTCTCTCAGACTTAAGACCTACCTCACACTGTGAGATCTTCTCTCACAGACTAAGACCTACCTATCAACTGAGGCCTTTTTCTCAGACTAAGGCCTGCCGCACACTGTACGACCTTTTCTCCCACACAGGAGTTTCATGCACGAGGCCTTCTCATACCGAGGCTCACCTCACAGAGACTTCTCTCACAGACAAAGACTTACCTCTCACTGTGAGGCCTTCTCCCACAGACTAAGGCCTTTTTCTCACATTGGAGCTTCACACACGAGACCTTCTCATACTGAGGTTTACCTCACAGAGACTTCTCTCACAGACAAAGACTTACCTCTCACTGTGAGGCCTTCTCTCACAGACTAAGGCCTTTTTCTCACATTGGAGCTTCACACACGAGACCTTCTCATACTGAGGCTTACCTCACAGGGACTTTCTCTCACAGACCAATACTTACCTCACACTGTGAGGCCTTCCTCACACTGTGAGGCCTACTACCACTGAGGCCTATTCTCCCACTGAGGTATTCTCTCACACAGAGGCTTCTCTCACACTGAGAGCTCTCTCAGTCTGAAGCATTACTAAACAGGCACATCTGCTTATATTGAACTACAGCTTTTGCAGTCATTGCATCCATTTAATCATTTGAATGCTTGACTCACATTTTTTGTCATTAAAAATAGTTAATTTTAAATATTTCTGACAGCCTTTACTCTTTCCACTTCCAGCTATGCCGTCTTTTTTTCTTAACCAAGCTCTAACAAAAGCACTTAAACTTGTAAATGCTGAGAAGCATGCAACTTGATTGGCATGTTACTTTCTGCTGAAAAGCTCCCAGCAGGAAAGGCATTTTAGCCAAGGTGAAAGCTCCGCAGGGAACTCCACACAGATAACAAAGTCCTTGGCGAAATGGGGGAGTGATTAGCAGAAGAAACAGCTTGAAAGCCTTTTAGCTGAAATCTTTAAAAAGGCAAAGCATTTATCTTCCGCAGGTGGTGATCTGGTGGCCTTGCCTCCCCTCAAAATGCATTAGCTGTCAATTATCCTTTCACACCTTTCCTACAGAAGGACCTAATAAATCAGGCATGGGCCAACTTTGGGACCTCCAGATGTTTTGGACTCCAACTCCCACCATTCCTGACAGCCTCAGGCTCCTTCCTTTTGCCCCTCAGCTGCTTATGCGGCTGAGGGGCAAAAGGAAGGAGCCTGAGGCTGTCAGGAATGGTGGGAGTTGGAGTCCAAAACATCTGGAGGTCCTAAAGTTGGCCCATGCCCAATATAGTCACTTGTATGGGGCAAAGAGATTTCCCAACACAACTAGATTCAGGTCTAGTCACTTCACAAACTGCATAATTTGATGTCACACATTTCTGGAAGTTATATGGCAATGCTATAGGTTTGTTTACCTGGACAGAAAACACAAGAGATCTTGTTTAGGCCCTTTAATCTGTCCAAGACAGTATGCTGAGACACAAACGATAAAACATTTTGCATTTTTACAGCAAGGAAAAAAAAACAAGGAGAAAAACCTACAGAAATGTGTAAGGAAGTTAATTTGTTTTTGTTTTTTTACATGGGGGGTAAAACATTATAAATTCAGGACAAAGCACTGACACAGGTCGATTCCCACATTTTTTGTTGCTTTTTAAAAAAAGTTCGTATGCGTAGCCAGGCAGTCAAAATGGCTGTTTTTTTTTGTGTTTCTTTTCGCTGTTTTGTATTTTTCCAAGTACCTCTGAGTGGACTGCGACGCACCTTGGAATGTCCTCCGGAGGCTCTGTCATTTTTGCGGTGTCAGGGATTAAAAAAAGAAAACGCCAGAGTCCTTCCAGATTCGAGCAAAGCAAGCCACTCAGTCGTCAAATTTGATCTTCTTCCCTTGGGGTTTGTGGTCGCCGCCACCGCCTCGGCCTCCCCTGAAGCCCCCGCCTCGGCCTACGGAAACGGATTTTTGGGAATAGTTAGAAGCCAGCACGGCATTCAAAGGGTTTTTAAGTATGCGATCTGAGCACAAGGTGCTGCTGGAGGCGTCTCCGCCAGCTCTCTTACCTCCGAAGCCTCTTCCGCCTCCGCGGCCGAATCCTCCTCTGCCGCCCCCTCGGCCTCCACCTCCTCGGCCTCCGCGACCGAAGCCGCCTCCGCCTCCTCCGCGTGACCCGTCACCCTTTGGCTTGGCGAAGTCGAGGGTCACCTTGTTTCCATCGATCTCTCCGTCCTCCATGGCTTCCTTGGCTGCTTTGGCGTCTTCTGCCGAACTGAAGTCCACAAAGCCAAACCTAGAAGGGGACAGAGGTCAGCTGAGAGTTGCAAATAAATAGTAACAACAACAACAACAACAACCATGTTCTTGTGGGTTTTTTCGGGCTATAGAGCCATGTTCTAGAGGCATTTCTCCTGACGTTTCGCCTGCATCTATGGCAAGCATCCTCAGAGGTAGTGAGGTCTGTTGGAATTAGGACAATGGGTTATATATCTGTGGAATGGCTGGGGTGGGGCAAGGAGCTCTTCCCTGCTGCAGTTAGGTGTGAATGTTTCAGCTGATCACCTTCATTAGCATTTGAAGGCCTGCCTGAGCCTGGGAAAATCTCTTGCTGGGAGGTGTTAATCTGTGCCTGGTTGTTTCCTCTCTGTTGTTTAGCTGTTGTAATTTTAGAGTTTTTTAATACTGGTAGCCAGATTTTGTTCATTTTCATGGTCTCTTCCTTTCTGTTGAAATTGTCCACATGCTTGTGGATTTCAATGGCTTCTCTGTGTAGTCTGACATGGTGGTTGTTGGTGTGGTCCAGCATTTCTGTGTTCTCAAATAATATGCTGTGTCCAGGTTGGTTCATCAGGTGCTCTGCTATGGCTGACTTCTCTGGTTGAAGTAGTCTGCAGTGCCTTTCATGTTCCTTGATTCGTGTTAGGGCAATGCTGCTGCGTTTGGTGGTCCCTCTGTAGACTTGTCCACAGCTGCATGGTATACGGTAGACTCCTGCAGAGGTGAGAGGATCCCTCTTGTCCTTTGCTGAACGTAGCATTTGTTGGATTTTCTTGGTGGGTTTGTAGATTGTTTGTATGTGTCCAGGTTGGTTTGGTGGATTCTGAATTCTTGATCAGTCTGATCAAGCAGAGCTAGCAGAGAAGAGCTCTTTGCCCCACCCCAGCCATTCCACAGATATATAAACCCATTGTCCTAATTCCAACAGACCTCACTACCTCTGAGGATGCTTGCCATAGATGCAGGCGAAACGTCAGGAGAAATGCCTCTAGAACATGACTCTATAGCCCGAAAAAACCCACAAGAACCTAGTGATTCCAGCCATGAAAGCCTTCGACAATACAACAACCACCATCTCCCCAAAGGGGACTCGGGGTGGCTAACATGCCAAGCCCAAAAATAATCAGCAAAGTTAGAAACAAAAAAACAGAAAAATTACATCACATCAAAATACATAAAATAACAGAATAAAATGAACAGTGCAAAATAACATAATAAAATAAGAATCCACATCTGTACATAGAGCAATTAGGGATAGAAGGAACCCTGTTTCCTAGATCTACATAGCTCAGGCATGGGCAAAGATATACTGAGAGATATATTGAGTTTTCCCCTCGCTTGAAACCTAAAAGAGATGGGTGTTAAGAGTAGCTCAGACCCAGTTCTTGATTATTAAGAAGTGCAGTTACTTCTTATTGTTGTAAATAAAGCTTTTGTGATTTTTTTAAAGGTTAGACTCTGTATGTTTCCCTCCTAAGAGAATTCTTTACAGCCACATCATATGGCGCTTCACACTCTGCTCGCTGATGAGCTGATGCTCAACTTTTTGTATTTTTTTTTTTTTGGTGTTCTGCTATATTTTAGGGTAGTTTATTTATTATTTATTTACGACATTTATATGCTGCCCTTCTCACCCCGAAGGGCACTCAGAGCAGTTTACAAGATACACACACACACACTATATATTATTTTATTGTTGTTGGTTCATTTGTTCAGTCATTTCCGACTCTTCGTCACCTCATGGACCAGCCCACGCAAAAGCTCCCTGTCGGCCGTCACCACCCCCAGCTCCTTCAACGATCCAGTCACTTCAAGGATCCCATCCATCCATCTTGCCTTTGATTGGCCCCTCTTCCTTTTTCCTTCCATTTTCCCCAGCATCATTGTCTTCTCTAAGCTTTATTGTATTATTAGCATAGTACAATAATAATATATTATAATTATATATTTATATTACATGTAATATGACTAATAACATTACAATATAATGGTATAGTACAATATAGTAATATTTAATACTGATATTGCACTATTATATTACACTGTTCTACAATTTTTCCAGTTTTTCTCAGTTTCGGAAACAAAATGTGCCGTTTCTTAATAAATTTAACATGCTGAATTCAAACATAATAATTAAATGTGTTAATTGGCTCTGGTTTTTATGCAACAGCTATTTCAATTTTCTCCACAATAGGTAATTCGTTAATATTATGATAATGCGCCTAACCTTACTGCATGTATATAAACCGTGAATATTTACTAAATTTTAGTCAAATTACATTGCCAATAGTTTATACATGAGAAATATTTATTTAATTAGTCTATTGTTTATGTTTGTGCAGCAAGAAACTATATTAGTAGGCCTAATGCAGTCGAAAAGTCTGAAAGTTTAAATGTCGCTTTAATCGTGACTTTAGTTTATATCCTGTTTGCTTCTCTTGACTTTTCTTTTGTATTCAAGGAAAGGATTGTCTCTTACAATGCTCCAGCAGGAGTCTGACAGCATTGACGGAGTCCATTTGCCTTGATATCTTTTTTCCATACTGCTTTATTTACACACGTGCGAGGCATAACTACTAGGGCTGGGCGGTTTCATTTCGTTAATTCGTAATTCGTTAAAAATTCGTTATTTTTTTTGTTAACGAAGCGATAACGAACCATTCTGGAGCAACTTAAAAACGAAACGAATTTTTCAATTCGTTTCGTAAATGCTTCGTATTTCGTTATGTATTCGTTTCGTTATTGGTTTGAGGTCGTTTCGTTATTATTTCCGCATGTCTGGGGCAAGTTTTATAGTTGTTTTTTGTTTAATTAGTGAAAAAAAATTTATAAATTATCACACCAACAGTCAACAACAGAGGGAGAGGGAAGCTTCAGAAGTTCCCCCTGTCCCATTTGGAGGTTTTTTAGCGTATTGCGCGGTCGCGTCCGCCATTAACGAATCGATTCGTTATTGTTTCGTTATTGACCATTTACGAAATTTTGTAAATATAGAACTTTTTTTTAAAAAAAATTCGGAATTCTTTTAAATATCGAAACGCAAAAAACCCCAAAAAACAAATCGATTTTAGAAACAAAATTTTCCGTTGTTACCCAGGCCTAATAACTACAGTGAAAAGAACAATGTTAAACGATGTTTAACGATACTGTCTCCGTCTTCAACTGACTGACCCTCACTGTTCAAAAGTCTGGCCTTATAGAGGGCTTTCTGGCTTTTGCACACGGCACTAATACTGTGTCATCAAACTTTTTAGAATATTCTAGAATCTTCCATAGTGTAAGTCGCAACATGCATTTTTTCAACCATACGTGATCACGTGATTGCTTATATCATAAAAACTAGAGCCAATATACATTTTTAAATGTCATTTTCATTTTCAGCACCCCAAAATCATAAAAGAACAGCTATTTTCAGGCCCGAAACTTTTTCTCCGTTGAACAGTGTTTTTAGCATAGTACAGTATCAGTATCAAATATTACTATATTGTACTATACCAATTATATTGTAATGTTATTAGTAATATTACATGTAATATAAATATATAATTATATTATATTGCATTACATTATAATATCATAAATATTGTAAATATCTACTAGGGATCCTCAAACTAAGGCCCGGGGGACGGATACGGCCCTTGCTCAGGGTCAACCTAAGTCTGAAACGACTTGAAAGCACACAACAACAACAATCCTATCTCATCAGCCAAAAGCAGGCCCACACTTCCCATTGAAATACTAATAAGTTTATATTTGTTAAAATTGTTCTTCATTTTAATTATTGTATTGTTTTTAAGTGGGGTTTTTATTTTTGCACTACAAATAAGATATTGCAAAGTGTGCATAGGAATTTATTCATGTTTTTTTCAAATTATAATCCGGCCCTCCAACAGTTTGAGGGACTGTGACCTGGCCCTCGGTTTTAAAAGTTTGAGGACCCCTGGTATATACGATAGATTATATTACATATTATTAGCATAGCACAGGAAACAAGATGGAACTGTCCCCTGGCCCCCTCTCTCTTCACTCTGGCCCAGAGCGGCAGTTAGTGCTGGGGAGGGGTCCCTAACTAAATCGCTAACATTTAGTAATTGTGGGAGTTGAAATCCTAAAGACTTGTGGGAGGTTTGAAGTTTGCCCATGCCCGATGTAGCTCAAGGTGTTTTGCTTCCTGCCTTTGTCCTCCGGCAATGACCGCTTGCTCAGTCGAACAAACAGAAGAAGCTGAGGTCAGTACTGGAGCTTTTGCTCTTCTTCTCGTGCGAATCCACAGCCTGCCACTGGATTTTCAGCAGGAAGGAGCTCATTGAGAAGGACACAACAGGCAGCTACTTAGCTTGAGCCAGAATGGACTACTTACCCTTTGGAGGATCCGGTCTCTCTGTCGGTGACTATTCTTGCGCCGACAGAGCCATCGAAGGACTCCCTCAAGGTCTCTTCTGTGGTGTCTTCGGACAGGCCTTTGACGAACAGAGTCTTGCTTTGTTCTGGGGGTGGAAGACAAGGCGCTTCAGTTCTGCAAGTGATGCATTAACCTCCTGCCCCCAAATTCTACCCAAATTTAGCTACTTACGGCTAAATCCTCCTCTGCCCTGGTTCCTGTTCTGCCCGCCTTGTGTGCTGTACTCTAGTCTGATTGTCCGGCCCTCTATCTCTGTGTTGTTGCACGAATTCATGGCTTCTTTTGCATCCTCGGCTGTGGCAAAATCTACAAATGCAAACCTAGGGAAAGAGAAGCAAAGTTGCAAATGGAAAGCAAATGGTCACGGGAGATATGCAAGTTGCTTACCTGTAACTGTGTTTCCTTGAGTGATAGTCTGTGAAATTCGCACATAATGGGGTTTTAGTTCTGCGCATGCGTTGCTGTTTGGAACCTTCTAGATTCTTATAAGAGAAACATTTGGGCGGAGGCCCCGCCCACTCTCCCCAATATTATAAATTCCCACAGCGGGGACTGCGCCTTAGTTCTTGTGCCGTGCCCGTCAGCCAGCGGGCGAGGACTCGGGGGCACGCTACCACCCGGTTGCATCCCTTTCTTCCCTTTTTAAAGCCCATCCTTGTGCTTGGGAGCTGATTTGAATCATAGAATCAAAGAGTTGGAAGAGACCTCCTGGGCCATCCAGTCCAACCCCCTGCTAAGAAGCAGGAATATTGCATTCAAATCACCCCTGACAGATGGCCATCCAGCCTCTGTTTAAAAGCTTCCAAAGAATACAACAAAGGTAGACATTGTATATCCTGCTTGAACTACATAGCAAACTGATTAGAAACTATTAAATAAAATACAAAACTAAATCAGGAACGAATTAAGACATGTTTCCTGAACAAGCAATACATCACGTCAGGGCCTAATAACTAAGACCTGCTGCATCTTGCTTAAGGAGGATTGCACTGTGATCCAAGCCTTCCCCCAAGCCCCAAATGGTTTCCACGTATCCGAAAACATTGTTTTGTATCAGTGATTCTCAACCTGTGGGTCCCCAGGTGTTTTGGGCTACAACTTCCAGAAACCCCAGCCAGTTTAACAGCTGTTAGGATTTCTGGGATTTGAAGGCCAAAACATCTGAGGACCCACAGGTTCCCAGATGTTTTGGCCTTCAACTCCCAGAAATCCCCTGCTTAGAGGGCTTTGCCTTTTTCGCGGGCTCCGTCCGGTGCTCGCCACTCGCCTCCTGGCTGAGCTGAGGCGACTGGGAGGAGGTAGGGCCGCCATTAGCCTCCGGTTGCAGAGGGGGCATCTCCTCGGGGGCTGGGGGCTTGTTCGGGCGGGCGGCGGTTGGAGCTAGGGCCCGCTCGTAAAGCAGAGCCTTAAGCCTGGATTCCTGATCTTTCCGAGCCCTGGGCGTAAATTCCAGGCAGACTTGGCAGGATTGGGGCCAATGGGATTCCCCCAAGCAGAGCAGGCACACAGAGTGTCTGTCTATGTCTGGAACGTTGCCACTGCACGACCCGCATTTTTTAAAGAAAGAGGTAGTACTCATGGTTCAGAAAAACTGGCCTGAGATATCCAAATCCGTTAGGGGTGAGAGAGAAGCAAAGTCCGTAAGCGAGCCGAGGTCGAAGAATATATTTTTTTGTCATGTCAGGAGCAACCGCTCCTGTTGTGAGAGAATTGGCCGTCTGCAAGGACGTTGCCCAGGGGACGCCTGGATGATTTTTGATGTTTTTATCATCCTTGTGGGAGGCTTCTCTCATGTCCCCGCATGAGGAGCTGGAGCTAATAGAGGGAGCTCATCCGCCTCTCCCCGGATTCGAACCTGCAACCTGTCGGTCTTCAGTCCTGCCGGCACAGTGCTTTAACCCACTGCGCCACCGGGGGCTCCAATCCAGTAATGAACTGTAGAAATGTAGGCCGAAAGACAGTCAAAGACTAGAGAGGTTCCCCTAAGCTGCTAACATGGAGAAAGGAACTAAGGCGCAGTCCCCGCTGTGGGCATTTATAATATTGGGGAGAGTGGGCGGGGCCTCCGCCAAAATGTGTCTCTTATAAGATTCTAGAAGGTTCCGAACAGCTGCGCATGCGCAGAACTAAAACCCCATTATGTGCGTCTTTCAAACTCCAGACAAGCCCTATTAGTTGCCCTCCTCTGGACCCATTCCAGCTTGTCAACATCTCCCTTCAATTGTGGTGCCCAGAATTGGACGCAATATTCCAGGTATGCTCTAACCAAGGCAGAATAGAGCATGGGTAGCATGACTTCCCTGGATCTAGACACTGTGCTCCTATTGATGCAGGCCAAAATCCCATTGGCTTTTTTTGCCGCCGCATCACATCGTTGGCTCATGTTTAACTTGTTGTCCATGAGGACCCCAAGATCTGTTTCACAGAAGAAGAAAGTGGCATATAAAGTAAGTAAACAAATAAACCAGTAGACAAATAGTCCCCTGTAGTTGTGATGCAGCCTTGAAATCACCATACCACATTGGAACTGATGCTGTAAATGTTGCCAGTTTGATCCCACTTTAACTTACATGGCTAAATCCTATGAAATCCTGGGAATGGCAGTTTGGTGATCGAGAAGGCCAAGCTACAACTCCCATGGCTCCATAGCATGCAATAGTTCTGCCATATTGACCCACTCCAAATCAGGGTGACTTTGTGAAGGAGATACCTCCAGGAACAACCCTAACAAGGTCTGGTATAAGATTTACATTTCAGAAGGAGTCCTGCAGCTTCGACTGGGGTCTCCCAATCCTTTGCGTCCTCTCTATCCCCTCCCTTCGCCAAACGCTGGGCACTTCTTACCCTTTGGGCCTCCCCTGGTTGTTCTGTGGGATCCTGATCGCCGAAGCCTTTTCAAAGACTTCCTGAAGGGATTCTTCGGTGGCATCGTAGGAGAGGTTGTTGACAACAAGAGTCTTTGAGTCTGCAGAAGGGAAAAGGACCCGAAGGTGTCAAAGTCACAACTCAAGTGTGTCCCTTTCAACGAATTTCCCTGTAGTCTTGTTTTTAATTCATGACAAAAGTGAGGGGAGAGTAAAGCAAAGGGAAGAAACACTACTCTCCTATTAAACAATACAGTGATGATGTATTGCTGAAGACTTTCATGGCCGGAATCACTGGATTGCTGTGTGTTTTCCGGGCTGTCTGGAAATGTTCCAGAAGCATTCTCTCCTGAAATTTCACCCACATCGATGGCAGGCATCCCCAGAGGTTGTGAGGAATGTTGCAAATTAGACAAGGGAGGTTTATATATCTGTAGAAGAATGTCCAAGGTGGGAGAAAGAACTCTTTTTTTTCTGTTGGAAGCAAGTGTGAATGTTGCAATTAATCACCCTGATTAGTAGCCTTGCAGCTTCAAGGCCTGGCTGCTTCCTGCCTGGGGGGAATCCTTGGTTGGGTGGTGTTAACTGGCCCAGAGAAGTCACTCAAATCCACAAGTGGACGGTTTCAACAGAAAGGAGGAAACCATGAAAATGAACAAAATCTGGCTACCAGTATTAAAAAAACTCTAAAATCAGGACAATAAAATAAGAAGAACACTCAAAAAGCAGGGTAATTCCAAACAAGAAACCATCAGAGCCAGCTAAGATCTCCCAACTGAGGATTCCCCTAGGTTTTGAAGCTGCAAAACTTTGCAAAGCTAATCAAGGTGATTAATTGCAACATTTACACTTGGCTCCAACAGACAAGAGTTCTTTCTCCCACCCTGGACCATCCACACATATGTAAACCTCCCTTGCTTAGTTTCCAATATACCCCACAACCTCAAGCTTTCAACAACCCAGTTAGAGCTGATTTATTCTATCCCTAGTTTTCAACAGACCTCACAACCTCTGAGGCTGCCTGCCATAGATGTGGGTGAAACGTCAGAAGAGAATGCTTCAGGAACATGGCCAGACAGCCCGGAAAACTCACAGCAACCAAGTACAGTGATGATTTTTCTTCTATCCCATCTTTCTCATGATATGGGACTCATAGCAGTTTACAATAAAACACTTATAACAAAATCTAATACAGAACTCTAAAATCCCGTGAGAACATTAATTTAAAAACACCGTGAACACATTGTCATAAAATCATAGAATCAAAGAGTTGGAAGAGACCTCATGGGCCATCCAGTCCAACCCCAGTCTGCCAAGAAGCAGGAATATTGCATTCAAATCACCCCTGACAGATGGCCATCCAGCCTCTGTTAAAAGCTTCCAAAGAAGGAGCCTCCACCACACTCCTGGGGCAGAGAGTTCCACTGCTGAACGGCTCTCACAGTCAGGAAGTTCTTCCTAATGTTCAGATGGAATCTCCTCTCTTGTAGTTTGAAGCCATTGTTCGCGTCCTAGTCTCCAAGGAAGCAGAAAACAAGCTTGCTCCCTCCTCCCTGTGACTTCCCCTCACATATTTATACATGGCTATCATGTCACCTCTCAGCCTTCTCTTCTTCAGGCTAAACATGCCCAACTCTTTAAGCCACTCCTTATAGGGCTTGTTCTCCAGACCCTTGATCATTTTAGTCGCCCTCCTCTGGACACACTCCAGCTTGTCAATATCTCTCTTCAATTGTGGTGCCCAGAATTGGACACAATATTCCAGGTGTGGTCTAACCAAAAGAATAGAGGGGTAGCATTACTTCCCTAGATCTAGACACTATGCTCCAATTGATGAAGGCCAAAATCCCATTGGCTTTTTTTGCTGCCACATCACATTGTTGGCTCATGTTTAACTTGTTGTCCATGAGGACTCCAAGATTTTTGTCACACGTACTGCTCTCGAGCCAGGCATTGTCCCCCATTCTGTATCTTTGCATTTCATTTTTTCTGCCAAAGTGGAGTATCTTGCATTTGTCACTGTTGAACTTCATTTTGTTAGTTTTGGCCCATCTCTCTAATCTGTCAAGATCGTTTTGAATTCATACCAATACATGCCAAGGGAAGAGGCTAGATATAAATATATACCGTATTTTTATTATTCTAAGACACTAACAGTTGTGAGATACACAAAAAACTACATGTGTTCCTGTATGGCAGGGGGTTGGACTAGATGGCCCTTGTGGTCTCTACATAGTATTCTAAAATTGACTTTTGAACAAGAGTGGGCAGAGTTTTAAGAGCAGAGGCTTTACGTTAACTGGGCCCGTGTAGAGACCATCCTATGGCTGTGAAAGTTTTAACTATGCCTAAAATCACAATTGTTTGAAACTCCTGGGATTTGTACAAAGACATTACTTTTACTTTCAAATTATTAGAAAGCAGGAAAATACATTCAATATATACGTCTCGTTGAATTAATAATACAATAATGAAAACTGTAAAATAGTAAGGCTGGGCGGTTTCGTTCGTTAATTTCGTAATTCGTTATTGATTCGTATTTAAATTAGCTTACGATCCGATATTGAGCCATGCAGGAGCAACTAAAAATCGAAACCAATTTTTCAATTTATTTCGTAATTGTTTCGTAATTTCGTTATTATTTCCGTATGTCTGGTGCAAGTTTTATAGTTGTTGTTTGTTTTATCAGTGATAAAAAAAAAATTATCACACCAACAGTCAACAACAGAGGGAGAGGGAAGCTTCAGAAGTTCCCCCTGTCCCATTTGGAGGTTTTTTTTAGCGTATTGCGCAATCGCGTCCGCCATTAACGAATCAATTCGAAATTTACGAAATTTCAAAATTTTTAAAAGGGAAAATTTCGGAATTATTACAAAATACCAAACGCAAGGGCCACCTAAAAACGAAACGAGTTTAGAAACAAATTTTTCCGTTGTTACCCAGCCCTATAAAATAGTAAATAATAAAATTGTGAAATTGTGTAAGAGTAAATAGTAAAAATAGTAAGAATTATAAAATGAAGGGAAAAACAACTATTCCAAACACTTTACATATCCCTTGTAAAATTACCTAAATGCTGAAAATTCTCAATGGGTTTGCTTGTGAAATACAAAAATCTATGTTAATATCAGAGTTAAGAGCAAATCCCAGTGTCAAGGTGAAATCCAGGCAAAGATATATGGAGACATCTCCAGTAATTGATGGGGTATTTTCACTAACCGGCAACCTTTTGCGTCGTCAATTGCTCTTCAGCGAGAGGTCAGCAGAATATACCATTGAACTTCAGTCTCTTTGTTTTTCTTGTTCCTTGCACCTTCTCTTTCTTACTCTCTCTCACTTTTGACTCCTTCTCAGAACTCATGATTCTATATAAGAAGCAGCTGTGATACTAAGATGAACCCCATTTTAAAGAGATGTTTATATGGGAAAAGGTGTGCCTTAAAAGGTTCTATATCCACGGGAGTGTTTTTACCTGACTGTCCTCCCTTGCCGCCCTTCCGGGAGTCCTGACTGCTCTTCTCGCCAGTGTAATCGATCACAATGGCGCGGCCGCCCATCTCCAACCCTTGCTTCTCCTCCAAGGTCTTCTCTGCCTCGGCCTCAGACTTGAACTCAATGTAGGCCATCCTGGCGGGGAAAATGCTTTTATTAACAGGTTGGCTCAGACTACTTAGAAACAGGTGCCGTTCCCGCCCCCGCCCCCCGCCTGTTTCTGATCACACTCCATTTTATTTATTTACAGTATTTATACTCCGCCCTTCTCACCCCAAAGGGGACTCAGAATAGCTTTACATAAATAATAATAATAATAATAATAATAATAATAATAATAATAATAAGTTATTTGTACCCTGCCACATCTCCCCGAAGGGACTTGGGGTGGCTCACAAAAGCGCTCAAAGTACTGCACATAAAAATAAAATTACAAAGCATCAAAAGAATACAGAAATTAACTGAATACAAACAATGGACCACATCAATTGATAAAATTATGAGTATAAAATTTATAAAACACAGTAAGAGAAACATAGAGACCTCATGGGCCATCCAGTCCAACTCCATTCTGCCAAGAAGCAGTTTACCTGTCCGAACGGATTCTCCCCTATGAACCATCAAGGTTATTAAGATCTTCCGGAGGGGCCCTGTTCTCGGTCCCACCATCCTTGCAGGTGCGTCTGGTGGGGACGAGGGACAGGGCCTTCTCAGTGGTGGCCCCTCAGCTCTGGACCTCTCTCCCACTGGAGATTAGAACTGCCCCTTCCCTCCTGACTTTTAGAAAATTGGTGAAAACTTGGCTCTGGAATTTAGCATTTGATGAGTGAGTCAAGAACTTCTGACCACACGGACAGATGGTAATGAATTGTGATCTTCTTTTCGACGACTTGGCTTTACGTAATTATATGATTGCTTTTAATGTATTTTTGTATTAATGTGTTTCATGGTGTGATGTTTTAAACTACTGTTTTTGAATCATGTTGTAAACCGGCCTGAGTCCCTCTCTAGAGGTTGAGAAGACCAGTATATAAAAGTTATAAATAAATAAATAAATAAGCAGCAATATTGCATTCAAAGCATCCCTGACATATGGCCATCCAGGCTCTGTTTAAAAGCATCCAAAGGAGCCTCCACCACACTCTGGGGCAGAGAGTTCCACTGCTGAACAGTTCTCCCAGTCAGGAAGTTCTTCCTCATGTTCAGATGGAATCTCCTCTCTTGTTCCTCATCCTAGTCTCCAGGGCAGCAGAAAACAAGCCTGCTCCCTCCTCCCTATAACTTCCCCTCACATCTTGATCCATGTCTCCTCCCCGCCTTCTTTTTGGCAGGCTAAACATGCCCAGCTGTTTAAGCCACTCCTCAAAGGGCTTGTTCTCCAGACTCTTGATCATTTTAGTCGCCCTCCTCTGGTCACATTCCAGCTTAGAGTCAACATCTCCCTTCAATTGCGGTGCCCAGAATTGGCCAGTCTTTGGGCTTCTTCAATCACAAACTAAAGTGCCAAGCAACAATGGTCGATGTCATCACATACAACCATAGTACACTGCTCCAGGTGAAAGGACTATTTAAATCCTCTGGGTATCAGCCATAACATCAATGGCTTAAATCAAGAAATAGTTTTCTAAGATATACAGAGACACTCGCTGGGACACCTCAGCAAGCGAGAGTCCAAAAGTGGCAGGCTCAAACCCAGAACCCCAATCGATGGCTGATACTAAATGAGAGACTCCCTCCTGGGCACACAGAAAACTGGGTGACTTGGAAGGCGCTGAACAGACTGCGTTCTGGCACTACGAGATGCAGAGCCAACCTTCAGAAATGGGGCTACAAAGTGGAATCCGCAACATGTGAGTGTGGAGAAGAGCAAACCATTGACCACCTGCTGCAATGCAACCTGAGCCCTGCCACATGCACAAGGGAGGACCACCAGAGGCACTCCAAGGGGCTAGATACTGGTCAAAGGACATTTAATAGAATACCAAGTCTGCAAACTTTGTGTTTTGTTTGTTTGTTTGTCTGTTTTTAATGCAATACAACTGTTTTGGTTAGCTCCTGACACAATAAACAAATATCCAACCTGGACTTGAACTGCTGACCTTTGAATCAGTAGGATCTTTCTGCAGCACAGTGGTTTAGCCTGCTATGCTGAGCCTGACTCCAAGTCTCCATCTATGGCAGACATGGTCAAACTCCGGCTGTTAGGAATTGTGGTAGTTGGAAGTCCAAAACACCTGAAGTGTCAGAATTTGCCCATGCATGATCTAGCCTTGCCTTGTGCAGACAACAACAGGACAAGCGCCTGAGCATCTTTGGTCAAAAGGCCAGAATATGACAATTTCACAAACATATTATCCAACATGGATAATGCTGTCTGGAATCTTAGCATAGCTTTTGGAAGCCAAAAGTTTTGTTCTGCGAACACTGCTGCTGCATACAAGCGATGCCAACAAGGCAACACATAGCGAGACCCGTTTTCTTTGGCTCTTGACTTACCCTTTGCTGTTTCCATCCCTGGACACCAGCCTGACTTCCATGGCATTGTCAAACTCTTCTTGCAGGTCTTCCTTGGAGACGCTGAAAGGAAGATTCTTCACAAACAGGGTTCGTGCGTCTCTTTCTGGAAGGGGAAAAAGGCACACCAGAACAGAATCAAATTCGAGTTCTCTTAAGGAGTTTTAAAATCCAATGTTACATATTCCTGTTAAGCCAAAACACAAAAAGGTGATCTGTAAGAGATCGAGTCCTACATCTTAAGAAAACGAAGCCTAATATCCCCAAACTTTGCGAAATAAGCCACAACGCAGGCCTCAAAGTAACTGCCTCCCAACAGCGCTTGGATTGCACTCTAACTCACCTTTCTTGTTCTCTTGCATGCTCTCTCTACTTTTTGCCTTTTCCAGTTTTATTTCCAAGCCCATTAACTTCTTTCCATTGAACTTCAGGGCTTTCTCCATTTCGGCTTCTGAGGCAAAATCGACGTAGCCAAATTTCCTGGAAATCAATTTTAGATACAATTTTTTCTCTAAGCCATATTTGTTTTGCAGGCAACCGTGCTCTGGGAAAGGTGCTGCAACAAGTTGCCAACATTTATTAATTTATTTACTACTAGCCGTCCCCTGCCACATGTTGCTGTGGCCCAGTCTGTATATATTTGTGTATATATACATGTATATGTGTGTTTGCGTGTGTGTGTGTGTATATATATGTGTGTGTGTGTGGTTTTGCACGTGTTGTAATGTATTTTTTTATTTTTGGCTTATTTTTTTAAGTATCTTCTGCTGTGTTTTTCAGTGTTTTTGAGTGATGCCCACTCGTTGGCCTGAGGTGTCTTGTGTCCAAATTTGGTGTCAATTCACCCAGTGGCTTTTAAGTTATGTTATTCCCACAAACGAACATTATATTTTTATTTATATAGATATTTATGCCCATCCTTCTCACCCTGAAGGGGACTCGGAACAGCTTACAAATAGGCAATTCAATGCCATATAAACAGACGTGTAAAAACAATAAGCATATACATTAAACCACAGAAATTAAGAAAAAAAACCCCATCTATATACATCAAAATTGAATCCAAACCCACACCACCAACAGAGACAGAAAATCATAGAATCACAGTTGGAAGAGACCTCATGGGCCATCCAGTCCAACCCCATTCTGCCAAGAAGCAGGAATATTGCATTCAAAGCACTATTACATAAAATACAAAACTAAATCAGGAACAAATTATTAAGACATTATGTTTCCTGAACAAGCAATGTCATGTCAGCGCCTAATAATGAAGACCTGTTGCATCTTGCTTAAGAAGGATTGCACTGTGATCCAGGCCTTCCCCCAAGCCCCAATTGGTTTCCATGTATCCGAAAACATTGTTTTGTATCAGTGATTCTCAACCTGTGGGTCCCCAGGTGTTTTGGGCTACAACTCCCAGAAATCCCAGCCAGTTTACCAGCTGTTAGGATTTCTGGGAGTTGAAGGCCAAAACATCTGGGGACCCACAGGTTGAGAACCATTGTTCTAGATGTTCCCTTCTAATACCAAGTTACATAATCTATTTTTCAAATACCTAAAAACCCAGATACAATCAAAAGAATTGGTTTCTTACAGCCAGCAGATATGTTTCAAAATAACAGCCATCGCAATCAGGGGAAATCTTACTTTGAGCCTCCAAGTCTCACATCTTGGACTTCGATGTCCTTCTTGGTGAAGAAGTCCCTGATTCCTGACTTCAGTTCTTCAAAATCCTTGTTTGAGTTCAGGTTACCAAGGAAGACCGAGAATGCAGCTTCAAGAAAGTTAGCAGAAGATTTGAGTTATGACAGCATCCCTGGAAGATGGCTGAAGCAAGGTCCGGAAAGCCTCCAAGGACGGCTTTCGGTCAACACCGCGTCTATGTTGCCCATTTCTGTACGTCACACTCCCATTATGAAGGGAATCCCGGCAAGCGTGTTTGGAACAGCTCAGTGCAGCTCTTTTGGCTTTATAATAYGGACAATACCTGCCCCTATCTCTCACTGCCTGGTATTCTACAATCATGCCTTTGCCCCCCCCCCAATATTTTTTTTTGTATTTCAGAAGGTAAACAAGGGGTAAAACTACCTTCCTTATCCCAGAATGYCTCCCCACAATATTTTTTTGTATTTCAGAAGGTAAACAAAGTGTAAAACTACCTTCCTTACCCCAGAATGCCTCCCYGCAATTATTCGTTGTATTTCAGAAGGTAAACAAGGGGTAAAACCACCTTCCTTACCCCAGAATGCCTCCCCGCAATTGTTTTGTATTTCAGAAGTTAAACAATTGGKAAAACTACCTTCCTTATCAAAGAATGCCTCCCCACAATATTTTTTTGTATTTCAGAAGGTAAACAAGGAGTAAAACTACCTTCCTTAGCCCAGAATGCCTCCCCGCAATAATTTTTTTTGTATTTCAGAAGGTAAACAAGCAGTAAAACTACATTTCTTACCCCAGAATGCCTCCCCGCAATTTTTTTTGTATTTCAGAAGGTAAACAAGGAGTAAGACTACCTTCCTTACCCCAGAATGCCTCCTCGCAGTTATTTTTTGTATTTCAGAAGGTAAACAAGGGGTAAAACTACCTTCCTTACCCCAAAATGCCTTCCCACAATTATTTTTTTGTATTTCAGAAGGTAAACAAGGGGTAAAATTACCTCCTTACCACAGAAAACACTATGAAAAATATATATCATGGGGTTGCCTTAAAGTTGGCAGATGAATTTAAAGCCTTTGCGTGAAAGTATATAAAAATACATTCAGGAAGGCTGGAAAAAAAAATCCAACGTAAGCAAGAATGTATTTAGCAAGAATCACTGGGGAGAAGCGATGTAGTGAACTTCTCTTGGCCCACCAAGGAAGGAGATCACTTCCACTTATCCCACTATTATTGCAACAAGAATGAGGACATCTACATGTCCTTTTGTGGCCGATTATCCCTTGTGGGGACCTTCTAGGTGTCCCTGTGGACTTCTGTGTGATGCTTTTCCCCTATCAGAGTAGAGAATAGATGGTTTGACACAGGCATGTGCAAACTTGGGCCCTCCAGGTGTTTTGGACTTTAACTCCCACCATTTCTAACAGCCTCAGGTCCCCTCCCTTTCCCTCTCAGCCAAGTTTGCACAGACCTGCTTTAACATATTTAAATCCTTACAAGCTTACTGATGTAGAAATGCCATCAGCAGATAAATGCAGCTTTTAGAACCCACTTCTGAAGTTGATCTGTGTCTCTTATTATATAGTGTTGCCCTGACACTTTCACTGTGTAGGAGAGAGAGAAAAACTGGATTCATCTGCAAAAGCAGTATGAAAAAATGGCAGAGATTGTACTTGGCATACAAGCCGCTTTATTTTTATAGCATTCCAAACTGAAAATTAGGAAGAAAACTGCGTATCTTGTGTTTCAAAACAACATTGTCAACATCCCATCCCACCCCAACATTCCCGCCAACCTCCTTTCAATTTTTTAATCCTCCCCAATAGATCAAATCATTACATTTAATCCTCCCCAATAGATCAAATCATTACATATGCACTGTGTACATAACCACATACAGGCAGTTCACAAGTTACAAACAAGATAGGGGACTGCCTGGACTTAAAATTCCATTAACACAAGTATTTTCAATTAAACTTCAACTAAAGTTAACTACGGTCTACAAGAGGAATAGCCACTATTAATTTAGATCAGCGCTTCTCAACCTGGGTCTCAACCATCCCTTCAAGGCATGGGGGTTCTGTGTGGGAAGTTTGGCCCAATTCTATCACTGGCGGAGTTCAGAATGCTCTTTGATTGTAGATGAACTATAAATCCCATCAACTACAACTCCCAAATGTCAAGATCTATTTCCCCCCAAACTCCACCACTATTCACATTTGGCCATACCGAGTATTTGTGTCAAGTCTGGTCCAGATTTATCATTGTTTTGAGTCCACAGTGCTCTCTAGATTTTTTGTGTGTGTGTGTGTCAGAAGAGACTTGAGAAACTGCAAGTCACTTCTGGGGTGAGAGAATTAGCCATCTGCAAGGACATTGCCCAGGGGATGTCCGTATGATTGATGCTTTACCATCCTGTGGGAACCTTCTCTCATATCCCCGGATGTTCGAGAACAATTTGCTCCATCCCTATCTCATCCTGATTTTAGTATTTTTAGTATCTTAGTTGTTATCTTGCACATGCGGCCCACTCATTGTTATTGTGGGGACGAGGATCAGCGCCTTCTCGGTGGTGGCCCCTCACCTGTGCAATTCACTCCCCGGGGAAATTAGGTCATTGACATCACTCCTCTCTTTTAGAAGGAAATTGGATATGGGACCAGGCTTTTGGGTAATCTGGCAGACAGACAAAGGACAATGACGACTAGAATTGATAGGATTTGACAATGTGGAATGAATTTAAGGATTTTGAGCTGGCGAACGTTGAGCATTAGATTGGTTTTATTGATTATGATGTATAATTGTTTTAATTGTTTATAATTGCTGTTTATATATGTTTTACCTTATTGTTGTGTTGGCATCAAATTGTGCCTTTTGTAAGCCGCCCTGAGTCCCCCCTTGGGGGTTGAGAAGGGCAGGGTAGAAATGCGCGAAATAATAAATTGCTGTGTATGATTTTGCTTTATCATCTTTGCACTCCTATGTTGTATGTATTTTACTGTGTTGTTATTGCATTTTGCTTTTATTTTATTGTAATATGCTGTTGGGCCTGGCTTCATGTAAGCCGCCCTGAGTCCGCATTGGGGAGATGGTGGCAGGGTATTAATTAAAGTTGTTTATTATTATTATTATTCTTCAACAAATGAGTGCTTATTTCGCTTCCCAGATTCTAACCACCAACCTATCAGTTGTCCAGTCCTGCCGGCAAAAGGGTTTAACCCACTGCGCCATCAGGAACTCCTTTGCTCTGGATGTAGGTGAACTACAACTCCCAACACTCAAGGTTAATGCCCACCAAACCCTTCCAATATTTTCTGTTGGTCACGGGAGAGTTCTGTGTGCCAAGTTTGGTTCAATTCCATCATCTGTGTGGTTCAGAATGCTCTTTGACTGTAGGTGAACTATAAATCCCAACAACCACAACTCCCAAAGGACAAAATTCGGACCAGTGAATGAAAATGATTCATAACAGTAGCAAAATCAGTTATGAAATAGCAACGAAAATAATTGTCTGGTTGGGGGTCACCACAACATGAGGAACCGTATCAAGGGGTCGCGGCATTAGGAAGGTTGAGAAACACTGATTTAGATGAACAAGGACTCACGGTGGGGAGGGAAACTATATTTGTACTCTCGTACTTTCTGCAAAGTTATGCTAAGAGTTGACTCTCGACTACGTTGTGAATAATGTGGAATGTTGCAACAGAGGAACTGTGGTAAGTCTGGGATAATTCCTATATTGACAAGAAAAGTCATGATCCTGTTTTGCTTTGGAATAAAAAAACATAGGCAAAAAAGAGTTTGTGGCTCTCTCAAGGGCTGCTATTCACCTTCGGTTTTCTGTTTCTTGGCATCTGGAGTGCCTTTTTGCTTTGCCATCTCCTTCTTTCGCTTCCCAGATGTTTCTTGCACTTTTTCTGCGTAAAACAAAAAAGAAATAAAGAAGGTTAAAAAAGAGAGCACACGGGGATAGATTGCACAGTACACACAGGAAGGGGAAGCTGGATCAGGACTTGACTATCTTTGGAAGCGGTCATTTGTGATGCGTATCACATCAGTTCAGCGAGAAATCATCATTTTCCAGCTTCAGGGCCAAAGGTGAGAATCACGTCTTTATTTTCCCACCCAGAATGACAGGAAGCCATGTCCAACTCACCTTCCTCTTCCTCCTCCTCGTCTTCATCATCTTCCTCATCATCCTCGTCATCCTCCTCGTCGTCGTCATCTTCTTCAGACTCTTCCTTGGCAGCCTTTGCAGGGGTGGCTTTTTTGAGTGCCGGTTTTGCAAGCACAGCCGCTTTCTTCCCCTTTGCTGGCGTGATTTCCATGGGCTCGTCTTCAGACTCTGCAGCGATAGAGACGGCCAACATTTGATCACATACTGCCCACAACCCTCAAACACCCTCAAGAAAAGACTTAAAACTGCCCAGTGGTGAAATCAATTGGCTATAATGCCCAGCACATCAGCTCATACTAGAGACATCAACTAAAATCAGCATTAAGTCCCAATAAATCATCATTTGTGCTGGCATTGAGGCATAAACAAGTTGGAGCATCCCCCTTGTCGAGCTCCTTTCCACAGCAACCCTACACTACACCAAAGGCTGCTCAGCTAGACAAAGCATGGGCAAACTTGGGCCCACCAGGTGTTTTGGACTTCAACTCCCACAATTCCTAACAGCCTCAGGCCCCTTCTGACATAATAAAGATTAAGACACATTAAAATAATGCAGACCAATAAAATCATGTATATACCACTAAATATTAAAGTTTTATGGTGTCGTAAATTAGTTAAATTAGCACTGGGACTGTGGCGCAGCTGGCTGAGTGTGAGCTGCATTGAGATCACTTCTGACCAAAAGGTCAGGAGTTCGAAGCCAGCCCGGGCTGGAGTGGGCTTCTGACCAATTGTGTAGCTTGTTGTCGACCTTTGCAACCCGAAAGACAGTTGCATCTGTCAAGTAGTAAGATTAGGTACCACCTATGTGTGAGGAGGCTAATTTAACCAATTTATGAGGCCATATAAAAGACTCCAGCAAAAGCATGCGGGGAATGCAGAAGTACTCCATCAGTGTCACAGATGGACAATGAAAGCGACAACACCCCTGGCAGCCAGAAATGTTAAATAGCCTCTGACTGTCTGTCTATATCTGTTGTGTGTCTTTGGCATTGAATGTTTGCCATATATGTGTACATTGTAATCTGGCCTGAGTCCCCTGCAGGGTGAGAAGGGCGGAATATCAATACTGTAAATAAATAAATAAATTTAGCCTCCCCGCATAAAGCAGCACCTAAATTTTCTACTTGACAGATGCAACTGTCTTTCGGGCTGCATTAATAGCAAGCTAGACTATTAATGGTCGAGAGCTTACTCCGACCCGGTCTGGCTTCGAACTCATGATCTCTCATCAGACAGCAGTGATTTAATGCAGCTGGCTATTACTTATCTGTGCCACAGCCCAGTCCCAGCTTAGTGGTGTAACAAACGTTGACCATTTCGGGCTGCATAGGTCAACAGCAAGTTAAACTATTAATGGTCAGGAGCTTACTCTGACCCAGGCTGGCTTCAACTCATGACTTCTTGGTCAGTAGTGATTTAATGCAGCTGGCTACTAACTATCTGCACCACAGCCCAATCCCAGCTTAATGGTGTAATGCTAGAAAACGTTGCCCATTTCGGGATGCATAGGTCAACAGTGAACTAAGGGAGGCTCCAGCATTTTGAAAAATAAATAAAAGGTTCCTTTGAAAGGCTATAGAAGGCATGGACAAACTTGGCCCTTCCAGGTGTTTTGGACTTCAACTCCCACCATTCCTAAGCGGCTGAGGGGGGAAAGGAAAGGGCCTGAGGCTGTTAGGAATGGTGGGAGTTGAAGTCCAAAACACCTGGAGGTCCAAAGTTCACCAAAATACAGGCCTTGCTTTTTCCAATCCAGACATTTTATTCTTTGCTGCTATTTTAAAAGTTTCTCTCGACACAAAGGTGACTTACCATCCTCTTCATCCTCATCGTCTTCCTCATCATCCTCTTCGTCGTCGTCATCTTGAGCGACCTTCTTGGCTACTTTAGCGACCGCTGCGGCTTTCTTGGCTACGACGGGGGCCTTGGTTGGTTTTTTCACTGGCACGGCTGCTTCCTCTTCAGACTCATCTGTAGCAATTGAGAAAGGCACAACTGTTTATTAGAAAACATACAAGCCGACAAAATCAAACTTTTCATAAGCACAGTTTAAATCAATTTTAATGCTGATTTTAAATACGTATTTTTTCCATTATGGCAACTTTTTAAAATATGAATGGTACACTAGTCATTAGAAATAGCACAGTTTAAATCAATTTTAATGCAGATTTTAAATACGTATTTTTTCCATTATGGCAACTTTTACAGCAGACTACTGTAAACTCTGCACATTTCACATCATATCCGTGCAACCCAAACCAACAAGCATTTTTCATCAGATATAATTTTAGGTCATTCTCACAGTGTTTGTTGTGCTGAGTTCAGATCTATGTTTTTTTTTTCTCTATCAAGTGTAGTTTTTGCAATGAGGCTAATCGAATAATTAACGCATTTACCAACTGATATCAATTGTATCCGCCGGGTGGTGCAGTGCAGTGAGCTGCTGAACTTGCTGACTGAAAAGTTAGTGGTTTGAATCTGGGGAGCAGGGTGAGCTCCTGCTGTTAGCTCTAGCTCCTGCTAGAAGGACTGTATCTATAATTTATTTTGGATTCATAGAATGAGAGTTGGAAGAGGCCTTGTGGGCCATCCAACATTGTTTGTGACTGCTTTGTTTTTTATTCAAAGTACCCAGGGATTTGTCTTTCAAATGTATTTGCCTGTTGTCTATGTGCATTTATACAAAAGGAAGCTATACATCTCCACTAAGGTGGCAGAGCCGGTTAAACTGCTGAGCTGCCGAACTTGTTGACCGAAAGGCTGGTGGTCTGAATCTGGGGAGTGGGGTTAGCTCCCGCTGGTAGCCCTAGTTCCTCCCAACCTAGCAGTTCGAAAACATGCAAATATGAGTAGATCAATAGGTACCGCCTTGGCAGGAAGGTTTGTTTGTTTGGTCGTGTCAGGAGCGACCTTTGAAACTGCAAGTCGCTTTTGGTGTGAGAGAATTGGCCGTCTGCGTTGCCCAGGGGACGCCTAGACGACTTGATGTTTTTATCATCCTTGTGGGAGGCTTCTCTCATGTCCCCGCATGAGGAGCTGGAGCTGATAGAGGGAGTCATCCGCCTCTCCCCAGATTCAAACCTGCGACCTGTTGGTCTTCAGTCCTGCCGGCACAGGGGTTTAACCCACTGGAAGGTGACGGTACTCCATTCAGCCATGCTGGCCTGATGACCTGGGAGGTGTCTACGGACAATGCCGGCTCTTTAGCTTTAAATGGAGATGAGCACCCCCCTCCCGACTTAATGTCAAGGGGAAATCTTTACTATCAATTACATTCTATCGATATCAATAAATAAAAGCATTACTTATCCCACTAGCCTCATCACAAACTACATATAATAAGAGAAAAAAAATAAACATAGATCTTAATTCAGTGCAAAAAAAACTCTATTTAAGAATGACTGAAAATTGTATTGGATGGAAAATATTTGCTGGCTTGTGAAATCAGTGCCACAGCAACTACAGCTAAAATCCCTACTGCATCCCTTATGCACAGAAGATCTGGCAAGTAATTGTCATAGGGCTTCAGTTGCTCTCCATATACACTAATGTATAAATAGACCTCATGTAAAAGTTGAGGACAGGTTTTGAGGCCAAAATTACAGATTTTGATATGGCTCATTGATAAGTAGATAAGTACCCATAATAACAGTAATACCCATTGATAAGTAGAGTCTGCTCTTTCGGGCTGGTTTTTTTAAACTAAAATTTCTAGACAGATTCCATTAACCAAGTGAAGAATCCCAAAACACTTGTGGGATGGTTCCTCTGAGGAGTTTAATGAGACAGAGACCACTCCCATCCATAATAGGGCCACTGATATTAATGTCAGGCGTATTTGGGTCAGGCTTTAGCACAGCAGGTTAAACCACCAGCTGCAGTAAATCTTGCCAACCGAAAGGTTGACAGTTTGAAGCCCGGGTTAGGGTTTGCTCTTGGCTTTTAGCCCAGCTTCTGCCTACCTAGCAGTTTCAAAAATAGCAATGTGAGTAGATAAATAGATACTGCTTAAGCAGGGAGGTATTTAAGGCACCCATAAGGAAATGCCAGCAATTCGATCAAGAGGGATGTTTACGAACAAAGCTTTTTGGCAGAGAAAAGTGGGACAGCACTCTCAGTGGCCAGAACTGAGCACAGCCTCCAAAATGCCGAAGACAGAGCCTCTATATACCTCTATCTATGTACAGTTGTCTGTCTTGTCAGTGTATGTTTGCCATATATTTGTTCTGTGATCTGCTCTGAGTCCCCTTTGGGGTGAGAAGTGAAGAATATAAATACTATAAAATATATAAAAATATTTGCAGTTCTGTTGAGCTGCCAGTTGTCTATTTTCTAAGGCAAAAAACAAAACAAAACAGGAATGTTATGAAATTAGTGAGAATCATTTGCTTCTCTCATCCAATTCACCTTCTTCCTCACTATCTTCCTCCTCCTCATCCTCCTCATCTTCATCCTCTTCATCTTCGCTCTCCTCTTTCTTGGCGTTCTTTCCATTTTTTGCTCCTTTGGCAGAGACCGGGGTCTTCTTTGCTGGAGTCGCAGCGCCTTTCTTTGCCGGAGTCACCACCGCCTTTTTGGCTGGTGTTGGCGCTGGTGTTGCTTTCTTGCCAGGGGTCACCGCCGCCTTTTTGTTGGGCGTAACCGCTGCCGCTTTTCCTGGGGTGGCGGCTTTCTTCTGAGGAATCATCTGCAGGAAGAAAAAGCTATCATTATCCACTGCAGAGAAGTGCAATTAGAGAGGAAAATAGAGAACACAAGTGCAATACAAGCTCCATTATTTCAGCCAATTCAGCAGAATTTGCTTCTGAGCAAGCACACAAAGGAAAACCTTTACTATTGGTCATGGTACATCTAGGTTCTCCTGGGATCTTTCCTCCCTCCCCCCACGTGAATTTTCACACAACGAGCCATTCCCCAGCCAGAATTTGAGCCTCTTATTAAGGATCAAGACAGGAAAAGTCCTATTTACTTTACTGTTTTGACTTATGGTGGAAATGTGTGGTCCTGCCAATATTTCTGGGAATGTAATAACATCATCCCTCACCATCATTTCCTGTACTGCCATGAGCTCACAGAAGCCCTCCCTCCAGGTGTTTTGGGAGTTGGAAGTCCAAAACACCTTGAGGGAGGACCAAAGTTTGCCCATGTCTGGGATAGAAAACTCGCCTTTTCTATCCCAGTGTGAAGTCAGGGTCAAAACTGTAACAGCCAGGCAACAAAAGGATGCGAAAGGAAGCCCTTAATGTGCATCAATGGCTTTGAAACAGAAGCTTGATGGCCATCTGCCAGGAGTGCTTTAGGTGTGGTAGAAGGGGCTGGACTAGATGGCCTTTGGGGATCCCTTCCAACTATGGAAGAACATAAGGCTCTTCCACACAGCCATATAATCTAGGGACCATGCATCTCGTTATATGATTTATTTATTTATCGTGTCAGGAGCAAACCAAACAGTTGTATTGCATTTCTAACAAATAAACAAACCACAAAGTTTGCTAGCTTGGTAGTTGATTAAATGCCCTTTGACCAGTAGTTGGCCACTTGGGAGTGCCTCTGGTGTTACTATAAGAAGGTCCTCCATTGTGCATGTGGCAGGGCTCAGGTTGCATTGCAGCAGATGGTCTGCAGTTTGCTCTTCTCCACACTCGCATGTCGTGGATTCCACTTTGTAGCCCTATTTCTTAAGGTTGGCTCTGCATCTCATGGTACCAGAGCGCAGTTATATGATAAATCACCACAATCCAGACTAATAAACTGGACCTATTATAAGCAGTAACTTAACACACTTCCAGTGTTCAAATCCAAACAGCAGAAAATCCAAACATCTTTAGGCACTCTTTTATTAATCACCATGAAGTCATTAGATAGCAAAGCTCATTGTACTAACTTTCGCAGGCAAGACTGAGGTTAGATTAATTCAAGCACTAGCCCTTTTTATCTCTGATCTGCTTGAGATGATGCACAAAATGGCCTCCAGGCCTGTTCCATCTCTATGACTCCAGATATGACTGGATTGCAAGTCCATCATCGTTCGCTATGCAGGTTAGTACTGCCAAAAGGTACAATCCAGCTTCTGCGGTGCATCTACACTGCAGAATTAAGGCAGTTCTAATAAATGCCATGACTCGATGCTTTGGAATCCTGAGAGCTGTAGAGGTTAGTGAGACACCACCATCCTTTGGCACAGATGGCTAAAGGACTTGTAAAACAACAACTCCCATGGTTCTATAGCTTTGAGTCTTGGTGGTTAAAGTGTTGTCAATCTGCATTCATGGGCAAACTTTGGCCCTCCGGGTGCTCTGGACTTCAATTCCCACAATTCCTAACAGCCTTAGGCCCCTTTCATTTCCCCTTCCTGATCCGTGAGATCACTATAAAATTCACTTAATATCCAAAATAATCAATTGCAACTTTCACCTCTTCCTCGCTGCTTTCCTCCTCTTCAGAAGAGTCATCTTCTTCTTCACTGTCATCAACTTCCTTTGCAGGGAGGGCAGCCATTTTTTTCAGTTTCTGCGGAGGTTTAACATTCTGGAGGATAAAAAAAAAGCACAAGTTCAAACATCTGCAACTGGTAGTGCACATTACCCTATGATCAGCAGGGAATGGGGACACAAGGGATAAAGATGCAGGCCCCTGAAATAATTCCTAACCCTATAATCTGACATTGAAAGAAGCTTTGTTTACTTCAGAGACAAAGAGCTGTACTAGATGCCCAGAAGTCCAAATCGTGCAAATAAAACAAACTAACTGGGAGTTAAATGACAATAATTTGCCATTAATTCCAATTAGCAGAAATCCTTTTTGGTTGTAGAGATAGAAAGTTTCCCCCTCATTTTTTTAAATAATTTCTATGGGATATTGTTTTATACTCATGTATCATTTATGTTATATGCTGCACCTTGGAGTGCCTTGTTAAGCCACCTTGAGTCCCCTTGGGGAGATGGTGGTGAGATATAAATAAAATTTATTATTATTATTATTATTATTATTGCAGAATCTTTTTTGGTTGTAGAGATGGAAAGAGTTTTCCCCTCAATTTGCAGAATCTCCAACCAGTTGCTAGCATTGCTTTGGGCTCCTGGTGGATTCAAGATACATTCTATACTAGACAGGCAATCTTCAGCCCTTCCTCCTTGTGTTTTGGACTTCATCCTAGAGGCGGTTAGGAATTGTGGAAGTTGAAGTCCAGAACAACAGAAGGATGCAAAAGAAAGCGCTTAATGTGCATCAATGGCTTTGAAACAGAAGCTCGATGGCCACCTGCCAGGAGTGCTTTTGGTGTGGCATAAGGGGCTGGACTAGGTGGCCTTTGGGGGGCCCTTCCAACTATGGAGGAATATAGGGCCCTTTCACACAGCCCAGAATATCAAGGCAGATAATCCACAATATTTGCCGTATGGAAGGGGTCATAGACTTCCTAGGAGACTTCTGCTTTGGAGGTTTTTAAAAAATAGGCTGGATGGCCATATGTTGAGCTTGGTTGTGCCCTCTTATTTAGCAGAAAGAGGTTAAGGCTGGATGATCGGTGGGGGATCTCTTCCAAGCCTATGAATTTCCTATGAAAACCCCAAAACAATGGAGATTCCAATAAACCACTGAAACCCATTAAAAAGCACTATCAATACAGGCCAATACAATACAATACAATAAAATGCAATGTGAAGGTTATAATTTCCTGCATGGCAGAAAGGGGTTGGACTGGATGGTCTTTAGGAGTCCCTTCTAAGAAATATAAAGGACAATCAATACAAACAAACTCAGTACAATAAAATACAATGCAAAACTAAAATTCCCTGCATGGCAGAAGGGGGTTCAACTGGGTGGCCTTTGGGGGTTCCTCCCAAGGATTAGGAAGTACTATCAGTATAGGCCAACACAGTACAATAAAATGCAATGTTAAGGTTATAATTTCCTGCATGGCAGAAGAGGGTTGGACTGGATGGTCTTCAGGGGTCCCTTCCAAGGAATATAAAGGGCAATTGATACACCATAACACAGTACAATACAAACATTTCCTACATGGCAGAACAGTATTTGACTGGATGTCCTTTGGGGATCCCTTCCAAAGATTAGAAAGTATTATTTATAGTATTTATATACTGCCTTTCTCACCCCTAGAGGAACTCAAAGTACTATCAATATAGGCCAACACAGTACAATAAAATGCAATGTAAAGATTAGAATTTCCTGCATGGCAGAAGGGGTTGGACTGGATGGCCTTTAGGGATCCCTTCCAAGGAATATATAGGGCAATTAATACAGGCCAACACAGTACAATACAATACAATAGTAAAAAAAAATCCTGCATGGTAGAATGGGGCTTGACTGGATGTCCTTTGGGGGCGCCTTCCAAGGATTAGAAAATACTATCAGTATAGATCAGCACAGTATAATAAAATGCAACGTGAAGGTTAAGAATTTCCTGCATGGCTGAAGGGGGTTGGGCTGGATGGCCTTTAGGAGCCCCTTCCAAGGAATATAAAGGGCCAACAGTACAATACAATACAAAAATTTCCTACATGGCAGAAGGGTGTTCGACTGGATGTCCTTTGGTGGTCTCTTCCAAGGATTAGAAATTACTATCAGTATAGAATAGCACAGTACACTAAAATGCAATGTGAAGGTTGTAATTCCCTGCATGGTAGAAGGGGGTTTGGACTAGATAGCCTTCAGGGGTCCCTTCCAAGGAATATAATGGGCAATTAATACAGGCCAAAACAATACAATAAAAATTTTCCTACATGTCAGAAGGGGGTTTGGCTGGTTGTCATTTGGGGGTCCCTTCCAAGAATTAGGAAGTACTATAAAGTACTACAGCCCAACAAAGTACAATACAATGCAATACAATGAAAAAGTTGTGATTCTCTGCATGGCAGGAGCGGTTGGACTGGATGGCCTTTTGGTGTCCCTTCCAAGGAATACAAAGGCCAATTAATACAGGCCAAAGGTTGCAAAGATTCAAAGTGCCATGCAATGCGAAGTTTATAATTTGCTACATGGAAAAAGGGGGTTGGACTGTATGGTCTTTGGGGGTCCCTTCCAAGGAATATAAAGATATTCCTGTATAGATAAATTTAAAATGTTTTAAATAAATAAATAAATAAATGGCAATTAATACAGGCCAATACTAAAATTTCCTACATGGCAGAAGTGGGGTCGACTGGATGTCCTTTGGGTGTCCCTTCCAAGAATTATAAAGTACTATCAAGGCTGGCCAACACAGTTCAATACAAGTTAAAAGGTTCACATTCCCTGCATGGCAGAAGATTGGACTCGTTGGCCTTTAGAGATCCCTTCCAAGGAATATAAAGGACAATCAATACAGGCCAACACAGTACAATACAATGCAAACCTTCAAATTTCCTGCATGGCGGAAGGGGGTTGGACTGAATGGCCTTTGGGGTCCCTTCCAAGGATTAGAAAGTGCAATCAATACAGGCCAACACATTATGATACAATATACTACAATTCCCTGCATGGCAGAAGGGGGTTGGACTGAATGGCCTTTGGGGGTCAAGGATTAGAAAGTACAATACAATGCAATACAATAATATGAAAAGTTTGTGATTCCCTGCATGGCAGAAGTGGATTGGATTGGATGGCCTTTAGGGGTCCCTTCCAAGGAATATAAAGGGCAATCAGTACAGGCCAACACAGTGCAATACAATGGTTCAAATTCCCTGCATGGAAGAAAGTGGTTGGACTGGATGGTCTTTGGGGGTCCCTTCCAAGGATTATAAAGTGCAATACAATACATAAATTTTGCACATGGCTGAAGGGGATTCGGCTGGATGTCTTTTGGGGGGTCCCTTACAAGGAATATAAAGAGCAAATAATACAGGCCAACCAAGTACAATACAATATAATACTACAATTCTCTGTATGGCAGAAGGGGGTTGGACTGGATGGCCTTTGGGGATCCCTTCCAAGGATTAGAAAGTACTATCAATACAGTCCAACAAAGTACAATATAATACAACAATATGAAAAGGCTATAATTCCCTGCATGGCAGAAGGGATTGGACTGGATGGCCTTTAGGGGTCCCTTCCAAGGAATATAAAGGGCAAGCAATACAGGCCAACACAGTACAATACAATACTACAATTCCCTGCATGGCAGAAGGGGATTCGACTGGATGGCCTTTGGGGGTCCCTTACAAGGATTAGAAAGTATTATCAATACAATACAATAATATGAAAAGGCGATAATTCCCTGCATGGCAGAAGGGGGTTGGATTGGATGGCCTTTGGGGGTCCCTTACAAGGAATATAAATGGCAATTATAACAGGCCAAAACAGTACAATACAATATAATAATACAATTCCCTGTATGGCAGAAGGGGGTTGGACTGGATGGTCTCTGGGGGTCCCTTACAAGGATTAGAAAGCACTATCAATACAATACAATATGAAAAGGCTAGAATTCCCTGCATGGCAGAAGGGGATTCAACTGGATGGCCTTTGGGGGGTGCCTTACAAGGATTAGAAAGTACTATCAATATAACACAATAACATGAAAAGGCTATAATTCCCTGCATGGCAGAAGGGGGTTGGATTGGATGGCCTTTAGGGTCCCTTCCAAGGAATAAAAAGGCTAATCAACACAGTACAATATAATATAATACTACAATTCCCTGCATGGCAGAAGGGGGTTGGACTGGATGACCTTTGGGGGTCCCTTACAAGGATTAGAAAGTACTATCAATATAATACAATAACACGAAAAGGCTATAATTCCCTGCATGGCAGGAGGGGTTGGACTGAATGGCCTTTAGGAGTCCCTTACAAGGATTAGAAAGTACTATCAATACAATAACATGAAAAGGCTGTAATTCCCTGCATGGCAGAAGGGGGTTGGACTGGATTGCCTTTGGGGGTCCCTTACAAGGATTAGAAAGTACTATCAATACAATACAATAACATGAAAAGGCTGTAATTCCCTGCATGGCAGAAGGGGGTTGGCCTGGATGGCCTTTAGGGGTCCCTTCCAAGGATTAGAAAGTACTATCAATACAATAACATGAAAAGGCTGTAATTCCCTGCATGGCAGAGGGGGGTTGGACTGGATGGCCTTTAGGGGTCCCTTCCAAAGAATATAAAGGGCAATCAATAGAGGCCAACGTAGTAAAATACAACATAATACTACAATCCCCTTTATAGAAGAATGGGGTTGGACTGGATGGCCTCTGGGGGTCCCTTCCAAGGAATATAAAGGCCAACACAACAGTACAATATAATGCAAAGGTTTGTTTACATTTCCTGTATGGCAGAAAAGTGGGGTGGATTGGAAGGCCTTTAAGGGGTCCCTTTTTTCTTTTGAGCAGAACGCGAAAACCACGTGGAAGCCCCGGAAGCGAGGCATAAGCTGGGCATTTCCTCTCCCCCCCACGTGGTTTGAGATCACGTGGTCCCGGGAGAGAGCGGGAGGGAGGGAATGCGCGCGCACACCGCTCCTTGCTCGCTCTTTCCTCCCAGCCCCTCCCCTCTCCGTTGGCTGCGCGCGCCGCTCAACACAGAGAAAAGGAAAAAAAAAAGAGCGGGCGCCTAGAAACTCCTGCGCATATGCGCGCGCGCTCGCTCTTTCCCTTTTGAAAAAAAGGGAGTCCTAGAAACCGCCGAGCGTTCTACTTCGATCTGCGCCTGCGCGCTTAAATAAATAAATAAATAAAAGCCCGAAGTAGTAGTGGGAAAAAGGGGAGAGTCTTGAAACTGCTGCTCCTTGCCTGTGTAGAAGCGAGAGAATGGGAGGCCTAGAAACTGCTGCGCACGCGCACAAGGCCTATTAAACCCCCTTTTCCCCCCTCCTCAGTTGGATTTCCCTCCATTCTAAATGAGGCTAGGCCTCAAAGCCTCACCTTGGCGAGTTTCACCATGATGGCGGCGTTGGGAAGATGCCCGGATGTGGAGCGAGGCCTACAAGGAGAGAGAGAAAGAAGGGACCGCCGCGCTCTCCAGTCTCCGCCAAAAGCGAAAAGAGCGAGGTCGAGGGCTCGCCGCGCTCTCCCTCACGCCCCACGCTGCCGCCTCAGCCAATGGGAGACCGCGCAGCTCCAAGCTCCGCCCACTCCGGGCTTTCCCCCACACCAATCCCGCGTCGACTCGCTCCGCCCAATCAGACACCGCGCCTCAACTCGGAGGCGGGACAACACGCCGCTGACCCAATAAGATGACAAAACTGGGAATTCTACGCTTCCTGATAGGTCCGTTTCGCAGAGACGGAAGTGGTAAGGAGAACACGTGGCGGCGCCCTCTGCCTGCAACCGCGTGGGGTCGGCCCATTTTGTGGCTTTGAATCCGGTTTGTTCTTGTGTGTCTGTAAGACAAGCATGGGCGAACTTGGGCCCTCCAGGTGTTCTCGACTCCAACTCCCACCATTCCTAACAGCCAGAATTCCTAACACCCCTCCAGGTGTTTTGGACTCCAACTCCCACAATTCCTAACAGCCCTCCAGGTGTTTTGGACTCCAACTCCCACCATTCCTAACAGGCCTCCAGGTGTTTTGGACTCCAACTCCCACCATTCCTAACAGGCCTCCAGGTGTTTTGGACTCCAACTCCCACCATTCCTAACAGGCCTCCAGGTGTTTTGGACTCCAACTCCCACCATTCCTAACAGGCCTCCAGGTGTTTTGGACTCCAACTCCCACAATTCCTAACACTCCTCCAGGTGTTTTGGACTCCAACTCCCACAATTCCAACAGGCCAATGGAGACTCCACCTCAGACATCAGAAGAGCTGCAAAACCGAGAACAAACCACGAGCGTAAAGATGAAGATCCACCCAGAGGAAAAGTGTTCTTGCCATACATCAAGGGAACCACTGACCCATAGGGAAATTGATGAGGAAACACAACATACAAACCACTTACAAACCCACCAAGAAAATCCAACAAATGCTACGTTCAGCAAAGGACAAGAGGGATCCTCTCACCTCTGCAGGAGTCTACCGTGTACCATTCAGCTGTGGACAAGTCTACATAGGGACCACCAAACGCAGTGTTGCCCAGACACGCATCAAGGAACATGAAAGGCACTGCAGACGACTTCAACCAGAGAAATCAGCCATAGCAGAGCACCTGATGAACCAACCTGGACACAGCATATGATTTGAGAACACAGAAGTGCTGGACCACTCGTACAACCACCATGTCAGACTACACAGAGAAGCCATTGAAATCCACAAGCATGTGGACAATTTCAACAGAAAGGAAGAAACCAATGAAAATGAACAAAATCTGGCTACCAGTATTAAAAAACTCAAAAATTACAGCAGAAACACAACAGAGGGGAAAATAACAGGCACATGAAATCACCCTCAACAGAAGATTCCCTCCAGGCTACCAAGTCATTGAATGCAAATCAAGGTGATCAGCTGAAACATTCACAGCTAGCCCCAGCAAACAAAAGTCCTTTGTCTCACCCTGGTCATTCCACAGATATATAAACCCATTTTCCTAGTTCCAACAGACCTCACTACCTCTGAGGATGCTTGCCATAGATGCAGGCGAAACGTCAGGAGAAAATGCCTCTAGAACATGGCCATATAGCCCGGAAAAAACCTACAACAACCCATTCCTAATAGCCACAATTCCTATCAACCCTCCAGGTGTTTTGGACTCCAGCTCCCACAATTTGTAACAGCCACAATTTCTAACAGCCTTCCAGGTTGTTACCTCACTACCTCTGAGGATGCTTGCCAAAGTGCAGGCGAAACGTCAGGAGAGAATGCCTCTAGATCAGGGGTCCTCAAATTTTTTAAACAGGGCCAGGTCACAATACCACAAATTGTTGGAGGGCCTAACATGAATGAATATTATGCACGCAGCACATATTTTATTTGTAGTGCAAAAAACTACAATAATTAAAAAGAAGAACAATTTTAATAAATATAAACTTATTACTATTTCAATGGGAAGTGTGGGCCTGCTTTTGGCTGATGAAATAGGATTGTTGTTGTTGTGTGCTTTCAAGTAGTTTCAGACTTAGGTTGACCCTGAGCAAGGGCTGGGTAAATGACCTTGGAGGGCCACATCCGGCCCCCGGGCCTTAGTTTGATGACCTCTGCTCTAGACCATGGCCATATAGCCAAAAAAAAACTACAACCCAGCCCTCCAGGTGTTTTGGACTCCAACACCCACAATTCCTAACAGCCCTCCAGGAGTTTTGGACTCCAACTCCCACCATTCCTAACAGCCACAATTCCTAACAGCCCTCCAGGTGTTTTGGACTCCAACTCTCACTATTCCTAAGTCACAATTCCTGTTAGGAATGGTGGGAGTTGGAGTCCAAAATACCTGGAGGGCTGTTAGGAATGGTGGGAGTTGGAGTCCAAAACACCTGGAGGGCTGTTAGGAATTGTGGGAGTTGGAGTCCAAAACACCTGGAGGGCCCAAGTTTGCCCATGCCTGTTCTAAGCCCTTCCACACAGAATATCATGGCAGACCACAATATCTGCTTTGAACAGATATTGTGGATATAATCTGGTTCAAAGCAGATAATGTGGGATTTTATTCAGCTGTGTGGAAAGGTCCTCTGAATGTCAATATCAGTTTTAGCCTATAAAGCCTAATTTACAAAATTTAGCCTATAAATATCCATATCAATTTTAGCCTATAGAACCCTAAATGGTTCTGGCCCAACTTACATGTCCGAATGCATCTACCATTATGAATAATCTAGGACAGTGGTTCTCAACCTGTGGGTCCCCAGGTGTTTTGGCCTACAACTCCCAGAAATCCCAGCCCGTTTACCAGCTGTTAGGATTTCTGGGAGTTGAAGGCCAAAACATCTGGGGACCCACAGTTGAGAAACACTGCATTAGAGGAAGTCAAAGGCAAACTCTTTCTGTCTCGTTACCGCCTTCATCACAGGTACATTTGGCGGAGACAAGTGACAGGGCCTTCTCGATGGTGGCCCCTCGGCTATGGAACACCATCCCTATAGATATTAGATCCTCCCCCTCTCTTTTAACATTCCGGAAAAAAAGTCAAGACATGGCTTTTTGAGCAAGCATTTGCAAATGCAGAGTAATTGACATAGGACAACGGAACGACTAGGATGTTGATAAGCTAGAATGTGTCCAGAGACGGGCAACTAAAAATGATCAAGGGTCTGGAGAACAAGCCCTATGAGGAGCAGCCTAAAAAGCTGGGCATGTTTAGCCTGCAGAAGATAAGGCTGAGAGGAGATATGATAGCCGAAGGGAAGTCATAGGGAGGAGGGAGCAAGCTTGTTTTCTGCTACCCTGGAGACTAGGACGCGAACAATGGCTTCAAACTACAAGAAAGGAGATTCCATCTGAACATGAGGAAGAACTTCCTGACTGTGAGAGCTGTTCAGCAGTGGAACTCTCTGCCCCGGAGTGTGGTGGAGGCTCCTTCTTTGGAAGCTTTTAAACAGAGGCTGGATGGCCATCTGTCAGGGGTGCTTTGAATGCAATTTTCCTGCTTCTTGGCAGGGGGTTGGACTGGATGGCCCATGAGGTCTCTTCCAGCTCTGACTTCTAGAGAGGAGATTCCATCTGAACATGAGGAAGAACTTCCTGACTGTGAGAGCCGTTCAGCAGTGGAACTCTCTGCCCCGGAGTGTGGTGGAAGCTTCTTCTTTGGAAGCTTTTAAACAGAGGCTGGATGGCCATCTGTCAGGGGTGCTTTGAATGCAATATTCCTGCTTCTTGGCAGGGGGTTGGACTGGATGGCCCATGAGTCTCTTCCAACTCTATGATTCTATGATTCTTTAGACAATGAGTCCGGACAACATTTTTAACAAGGAGACACTATGAATTTATATTTTATTGATTTGTTTAGTTTTTGTTATATGTTATGTTTTTAAATTGTATTTAAGACATTATAAGCATTGAATTTTGCCCTGTTAACTGCCTTGAGTCGCCTACGGGCTGAGAAAGGCGTATACAAACAACAAATAAACAAATCCACAATATCTTCTTTGATCTGGGTTATCTGGCAGTGTAGACTCACACAGCCATACGACCCAGAATATCAAGTCAGATAATGAATGAATGCAACTTAATTTCTATCCCGCCCTGTTTATCTCCCCAGTGGGGACTCAGGGCGGCCCCTTCCATACAGCTGAATAGAACCCCACATTTTCTGTTTTGAACTGGTTTATGTGGCAGTATGGATTCAGCCTAGTTCAAAGCTGATATTGTGGGGTTTTCTGTTTTGATATTCTGGGTTATATGGCTGTGTGGAAGGGCCCAGAGTCCACATTGCCTGATAATCCAGTTCAATGTGGATTTTACACAATTGCAGGTGTTGATTTCCAAATTTTGTTTCTTTCGGTGCTTCGGAATGGATTTTCATGTCTGTTGGAAGACTGATACTGCCACATCAAATCCAGATTATCTGCTTTGGAATGGTTTATCGGTCAGCGTAGACTCGTATAATCCAGCTCGGAGCAGATAATGTGGGTGATTATATGGCAGTGTAGATCCAGCCCAATGTCCTTTCTACATTGTCCTTATATCCCTGGATCTGATCCCAGGTTGTCTGCTTTGAACTGGATTATATGCGATCCCTTCCACAGAGCTGTATAAATCCACATTGAACTGGATTATGTTGCAATGTGGACTCAGATAACCCAGTTCAAAGCAGGTATTGTGGATTATCTGCCTTGATTTCTCAGTTATATGGCTGTGTGGAAGGGCCCAGAGTCTCCACTGCCATATAATCTGAGATATTTATTTTTATTTCAAATATGTGTACCCTGCCCTTCTCAACCCCAGGGGGAGGGGGTCGACTCAGGGCGGATAAATAAAATAATCTGGGATAAGATAATATGGGATCAAATCCAGGGATATAGGGGAAGTGTAGAAGGGTTCTACATGTCAGGCCCCCTCTACAACATCATATATTCCAGATCAGGGGTCCTCAAACTAAGACCCGGGGGCCAGATGCGGCCCTCCAAGGTCATTTACCCGGCCCTCACTCAGGGTCAACATAGAATCATAGAATCAAAGAGTTGGAAGAGACCTCATGGGCCATCCAGTCCAACCCCCTGCCAAGAA